ATGTATTTTTAAGAAAAAAACTTTTACAGTACTTTTGAGTGACTTTTATTGTTTGTGTCTATAGAGCAACCACTGAACAAGGCCTTACATTTGTAACAAAATGTATGCATTACATTTGTTTGCTGTGTGACAACTGGAATATGCAAAATTTTCTTAGCTGTTTTTGATCTAGTTTAAGTAATTTTAATTAAATTGTGGCCAAATGTAAGTTGAAATGGAATGTTTTCTACATGGACATTTAAAAGTGCTGCACAGTGATGGTGCTAGATTTTTGTATATGTACAGAATTACAGCTTAAAGATGTTCTTGTGAGTTTCCAAGTCTGCTGCTCTCATGTGAAAAATGAATTCTTAATTTTTTTTTTTTGAATTGAACAATCTTACAATTTTTAAATCATATTTTTCATTGAACAATTTAATATTTTTTTAGTTTTATTATACTCTGTAATAATTTTTTGTAATGAAGGTCACTAATGCCATGTGTGAAATAATTTTGGCAATGCCTAGAAAATCAGGATTTAAAAGTTAAAAAAACACTTTTAATCAGGCCATCTTAAGAATAATGTTTGTTTTTTTTATATCCCGACTTAGGTAAAATTATTGTGTCAAGTCAGTCAGGAGAAGACAACCAAACATTTTTTTTAAAGATGGTCCTACATTATTTTCCCTGTCAGAGTTGTGCCCCTTTATAGAGGGTTGAACAAACTGACTTTTTTATGCTTTTCCTGTACATTTTTTTTTTCATGTATCTTTGGGTTTAAAAAGGGAAATTAAAAAAAAACTGAAAATTTTTCCTATCCAGGAGTTTGCAATGAAGATAACAATGAGTTTTATTGAGTGATGCTGGGCATTTATTAAAAATTGATTTAGATGGGTTACATTGACAAAAAAAAATACAGCAATGCGGTATAGTAATAGTTGATGATAAAGAATTCATGTGTGACAATTTTTATATATTTTTTTATTGTTAGATGACTTGTGTGTGTCAAAACTACACACATACACATATTTGTTATCCGATTGCTTTCAGTTTTTTAATTGCAGTGGGGTTTTATTTTCTTCTGAAAGAAAATGAGTTTGTTAGTGTGCTAGGTTATGAACAGAATTTGTTTATGAACTTAAAAAAATTGTAGATTTTTTTTAAAATGAATTGAATACAGTAAAACATATCTAATCTTACACCCCTGGATCTAAAAAAATAACTTGTATTATACACTTTTAATTAATTAAAATTAATGAAAGGGACTAGAATTTACATCATGTTATGATGTTAGGCAAGATTTCAGAATAGAATCAGATATGAAGCATTAGATAAGTTTAACTTTATGTGAACTATTTCCCACTAACAGCTACAGCAGCTGAAAATGTTAATGAATGCAGAAGCATTTTTGTAATTAACCATCAGAAACTATAACAATGAAGTGTGGGGAGAACTCAGTATTTTTTGCAGGAATTGATATTTTAATAACATATCCCTTAGTTATGGCCAGTTTTCCTTCCTTTTTTTTATTTAGTCACCTTAGAATCAACTTTTCTCTGATTCTATCCTCTGAATTATCCTAAGATTTCACCAAAAAAATTCAGTCATGTATAAAAACTATAAAGCATTGAAGAGATATTTTCAGAAAACAGGAAAAAAAATCAGAAGTTCTTCAACTATAAATTACATGTTATTAACAAGTGTAGAAAAATTGAACAAAGATTAATTATTTTATGTTGAAAAGTTGAACAAAAAGCCTTCATCATTGTAAACCTGTATTGTTTTAGACATTGTCTGTGAATTGTGTTCAGATTATTTATATAGAGACGTGTTGTTAGTGGAGCCATGTCCTAGACATAAAGTGACTGTGTTCTTTGATTCTTGTTATAGTAGACAGTTATAATAGTTGTTGATAATTTAGAATAATTTAATTATTAGTGCTGTATTTAATTCCATATAATATATACATACATGTACATGTATTCTTGCTTTTGATATGAGGTGTGTCCCCAAACTGCCCTGCCCCTTTTTCAGACTGAATCTGGGGACAGCATACTTGAATTTTTCTTTAATAATTAGACAGTTTGTGATTGAAAAAAAAAATAATTCTGTGACATTTACTAGAAAGTTTATTACTGAGTATAAAAAAATAAAAATAAAATGAATGAGGGGAAATTAAAGTCAAATTATTATTATAATATATTATAAAATGTAGACCTTATAAGTTACATATAATGAAAAGTAGGGGTCTTAATTCAGTTGTGTGGGAGGAGGGTCAGGGAGGGGCACAACTTCTTAACTTGTACCTGCTAATTCCTTTTTCTTGATCTCATCCTTTCTCTGTGATTTTATGCATTTAGTCTAGGATATTGTATTTTTGTCTTGTTAAAGGGCAAGTTCTTACACCTTGAAGGGGGGGGGGGGGGAGGGGGGAGGTTGCTTTACAAAAGGCAAGGAAACTTTCTTCAAGTTAAGGAAAATCATATATTTAGAGAAATTCTGAATGTGGAGTTTTTTTCTTTGTTGAAAAGTAAACTATTTTATATATTTCAGGAACACAAGAGGTTTATTTATTAAGTAAAATAAGATTTCCAAATTTCTACTTTAATAAGGAACTTTTTTTTACCTATTTAGTTAAGAAGAAAAGAAATAAACAAAAAAAAAAAAAATTCAGAGAATTGTATGATGTGAGAGATTTTGAACAACATTGAAGCATTTGAATTTTTTTCAAGTTTAAAGAAAATTTTATATGCCATGTCTTCCTATTTTGGATATTTTTGTAAAAGTTGACATGCCATGAATTATGAATTGTCATGGAAAAAAGGGGGAGGGGGGGGGGGGGGGGTCCATTAACGAATTTAAAGGAACAGAACCCATATCTAACAAGACAACTGTTACAATATTCTAAAACTGTTCAGTGAATTAGAGTTTTAATTTATTATTATTTATAACACAGATTTATAATATAATTATCTACTTATGTATTTTTTAGATTAGTGATTTGTTGTATGATATTGTCATCACGTTTTGTTTTTGGTTTCTTTTTTTATGTGCCCTGTTTCGCTGATATGATTTCTATTTATTGATAAATTCTGTATTACGATTACAATTAAACTCCATATCTCAGGCAGGGTTATTTCAAATATTATCATGGATAAGTTGAAGATAGTTGAAAATTCCAAACCATATTCCTTTATGTAATTTTCAAACTTGATAACACAATCTTTACAATTCTCGGATCAATTAACAGTACTTGTTGAAATATGATTTCCCTCAGAAGTAAGGACACATTGTGTTCAGTAAATCACTGAATTGACTTCTGGCTTTTAATAACTCAACAAATAATGCATGTAATAAATTTCAGTCGCATCATACGGGTCTTTCCTTCATAGCCAGGTCGGAAAAAAGTGCTTTCCCCCCGCTTGTCGGAAAGGCCCGAGAAGTTGCGAATGGATGTCTTTTAAATCAATTTAGATACGCAACATAATATTCTTATACATTAACTTCTTTTTCTTATGTAATATCTTTAGAGTTTTTCTATTTGTTATAAAACTATAAAATATTTGTTTTCTGGTATTCTTTTAAAATGATCAACTCAAATGCCATTAGCTGGAAAATTGTGTTGGATTTTAATTTATGTCGAATTTAGATGCTGAAACAGAGGGACAGTTCAAGGAGTTTGTTTTGTGTGCCTCATTCTGTGTAATGTGTTTTGTGTTTTTTTTTCCTCTCACTGTTTGAATTCCGTCCATAAGTTTCAATTTTCTAATCATTCGATCAATTTCTGAATTATTAAGTCATAAGTAGGTCTGTATTTATTATTTATTTTTAGTATCATAGTTAACGGAACTTTCTTAATTAAGAGTCAAGTTTTCTTTTTGAAACAGAACAGTGTAGCTTTGTTTAAAGGTGAACAATATGACGTGTTGTTGTGGTCTTCCTAGAGCCATTTTGATTTTAATGAGATTTTTTTAGTGATTGCTTGATCTAATCAATCGAAATTTAAAAAGAACAATTGTTATTTTATTTTTACCTTGATGTCCAGCTTCCAGTCTGTATCCTTGCTTATGAGCTCTGTTAGTGTGTAGTTATCTCCCTTTTTGTACTCCTTTTTTTATGCAATGCCTTTCCTGCATAAATATTGACAAATAAAAAAAATAATAAAGTATAAAACTTTTAGTCATCATTTGATATTTTAGCTTACACGAGATAGAAAATAGAGTCAGCATTTCTCATCTCGCCGCAAATTCGCGAACTTTTCATCTTGATTTCATTTAACAACGTAGGCCCAATATATGCAGTTTTAACCAAACTTGACAGAGACTGAGAGAGTACCTTCAGGTAGAACGGGCATAAACACTAAGAAAAGGCCATACTTTCTTCCGAGAGAGAAGGGAAGGTAGATATAGACTGGGATCATTAATAAAATCTAAACACCACTGGGTCAGGGAAGATGAATCTTTTATAAAATCTTTCCGATATCCTATATGATACAAACAGCAGAAGTTCGCAAGCCTCCTGTGTATAGAGTCGGTGACAATCGCCCTGGGTTACCCGTGGTACACCGGAGATGGGCAGATTCTCTTGAATTAATCATTCCAAAGGTAGTGATCGACAGTTAATGGGGTTTTGTAAAATATTTTTCATCAGATTAAAGAGGGAAAATAACACTCCAGAACAGCAGAGTCAATATTACTCAAGTGAGCCTTATGTTTTATAAGACTCTTCTTGTGTATACAATATAAATTGTAATACTACGTACATGCATGCTTAAAATTGTTTTCAAAAGTAAAGTTGAGAAAATTACTGACATCTTTCGAAGATCATGAAGATAAAGCGTCCATTAAAGCCCTTAGTCCTGCATCTTGTTTTAAAAGGCAACTTATTTTCTGAAGGTAAACATTTAAATATAACCAAAAAGGCCATTTATTAAACATAGCATTGAGAATTCCACTTCCTGTTGATCCGCGCCTATTGATTGCATCACCTGACTCTGTCGAGAGTTTAAAAATAGAACAAAATGTAAACATGGTCAAAATCACGCGGTAGTTACCAATATATGCCGATTAGAGAAGTTCTTATTTGATTGTGACGTCACATTTGTCTTGTGACTTGGAAAATTAATAAAAGTGCCAGTAGAATTATGTCCGTATGTCAATAGCGACTTCTGGCCAGGTAAGTTTGTTACTTGGTATATATATATACCTGGGTGCATTTGTATATATTAAGTTATACTGCATCTTCTCTAATTTCAATCTGCATGTTCAAAACGGAATGAATAATTATATCTTATACTGTAACATTTAAAATTAAGTAAAAAAAAAAAAATCAACACCAATCTAGCTATTACTTTACTTTTTAGAATATATTAAATAGTATGTTGATTTTTATTATAATATGCATGCACTGTACCTGCATGTTCCTTTCAGGAATGTCAAAACGAGAACCTATTTCCAAATGTGTAATATTACAATAAATTAATGAATACTTTTTTTTGAAAATTAAATAAAGCATTTTTTGTTATGTTAGAAATTGACAATGCATAGATTAATTATTCATATTTTGCATATTTTTTAACAAGTCTAATATAATGTAAGATTTTATAGTATTAATATGTCATAAAATAGGCGCAAAATATATATAGTGATAAACAAAAATTAAATGGCACAAATAATTATAACAAATTACTTTTATTTATCAAAAATTATTATATTATTTCTTTTCACAAACAGTGAGAATTATATACAAATCCATGCATTGTTTTCAGTTGTTTTTTTTTAAGAAAAAAAATGTAATGGCTGGTATTTGTATCTTTAAACTGCTTTCAATCAAACTTTTGTGAACATATCTAATATCGTAAAAATTACAATTTAATCGTCTTAAACTTATATCTAATAATAGTTTATAGCATCATATGGCGTTCTTATTTAACGATTCATGCCATATTTTAACGAGGTTGGATTCTTTAAAAAGTCTAAATCTATTTATTTTGGTCAACGATATTTCTAGTTTTTATACACGTAACTTCATTTAAAAGTCAAAACAAAAACTTAAGTCAACAAGCAAATTCAAAGAATTGTGGTCCCCCGCTTTCGGTGTCTTTGTGGGTGATGTGTTATTTTTATGACATATTGTGTCTAATATGAACACCTTATCAAATGTCATTTATTTAGAAATTATCATTGAAGTTGATTTTTTTTAAAAAAAAAAAAAGGTTAATCGTGAAAGTCAATCTGAAGGGAAAGAAATCATAGCATGCTCGGAAGTATCTTTTCACAAGTAATGCACATGTCATACGCAGTACAGTTAAGGTGCGCAATGGAAATATCGGCTAAATTTTGTATTTAAAAATGTATTCGTAATCGGGATGGCGATTATTTTTAGTACATTATTTATATCGGATAATTGTAATTATGATTAGTAACTACATATCGAGGACAATTATATTTTATATTTAGACTAGTCACGTGATGCGGTAGTCACGTGATTTTAGCACATTGACTTGAAGTATTGATGTTACATATAAATATCAATAGTGCAAGGGCATAACCAAGTTAAATTTCCAAGTTTAGTATATAAATATTTTCAACATGTATCGTAGTTTCTAAAAAGTGCTGCGATCCTGTCTAAATTCTGCAATATTATTGTTAAAATTATACTTGTATGACCGAATGCTATATTTTTTGCTGTTAAGCGGCATGAAATACTGATATAATTAAACTGTTTTTCAGATTTCATCAGGATCGCAGCACTTTTCAGATACCTTATTAGTTCTATAGTTGAAATATAAAAGCTTACTTTGATCCATAGAGTGTATGCCCTTGCACTAGATCGATTTATTAAGACCCCCACATTACCCTCCGATGTACTTGCATACAAATCTACGGCAGTGTCAATAAAATACGCAATGTACAGAAAATATATTAATAAAATAGTGAAGAAGACATTAAATTCAAGTTATTGGCCCATAGAATATCTGTAAATAATATTTTATTTAATTAGAGAATACATATTTTGTTGAGAAAATATTACTTGATTTGTCTCTCACTGCATACAAACTACGTCACGTTGTAAGAAATGACGTCATATTGACAAGTGTATTGCAATCAGTGCATTGTTTATAACTTGTTATGTGGGATTTAATTAACGACAAAACAACACGCTGTAGTAAGTAATTATGTAGTTTGATGATTTCTTACTAGTTAAATTAGCAGATAAACTAATTTTGAAGTATTTTAAAGAAATGTTGTATGACATATATTGTGTATGATGTCATAGTCAAGTTTTCCCGTACAAATTAGGCTCCGCCTCCTTTTTGTAACCTTAACTGTGCTGCGTATTTAAAAGCCCTATCTCTTCTCAATATAATGAACAAGATGTGTTTGTGAAACTCTGATGACCCCGTATGGCAACATAACGAAGATTAAAATTTTCTTAAATGCAAATTAAATATATTATTACCCAAAGTAGGGTTTTTCTCACAAGAAATACGATTGTGAAATACAAAATCTCTAGCACCACCTGTTCAAAAGTTAAAGTCGAGGATAAATTTTTGAAAGGTAGGTCAAACTTCAAGGTGAAAGGGTCTGAGTTTTTGGTTTCTTAAAAAAGGTCTTGTCACAAGTATTACATATGTGAAGGATGAAAACCCTAACCCAAACCGTTCGAAAGTTATGGCCAAAGTTAAAGTAGGTCAACTCAAAAGTCAAAGTCAAAGTCAAAGGGTTAAAGTTCTTGGTATCCGATGAAAGGTCTTCTCACATGATTACATATGTGAAGTACGAAAGCCCTGTTCAAAAGTTATGGTCAAAGTTAAAGTTTCTTCATTAGTTCGTAAATTTCCAAGGTCAAGGTAAAAAGGTCAAAGTTGTTTGTATCCAATGAAAGGTCTTGCCACAAAGAATACATATGTGAAATATGAAAGTCCTAGTATCTACCGTTTTAAAGTTGTGGCCGAGGTTAAAGTTTTTTAAAAGTAGTGAAAACTCCAAGGTCAAGGTCAAAGGGTTAAAGTTCTTGGTATCCAATAAAAGGTCTTCTTACAAGGATTACATATGTGAAGTACGAAAGCCCTAGCCCTTACCGTTCAAAAATTATGGCCAAGGTTAAGTTTTTTTTCATAAGTACGTAAATCTCAAAGGTCAAGGTCAAAAGGTCAGAGTTGTTTATATCCAATGAATGGTCTTGCCACAAAGAATACATATGTGAAATATGAAATTCCTATTATTTACCATTCAAAAGTTATGGCCAAAGTAAAAGTTTGGAATTTTTGTGTAGAAATGGGTCAAACTCCAAGGTCAAGGTCAAAAGGTCAAATTTGGTGGTACCCAAAGAAAGGTCTTGTCACAAGAAATACACATGTGAAATATGAAAGTCATAGTTTCACTGAATCAAAAGTTATGGGCAAGGTTAAAGTTTTTGTGACGGACGGACAGCTAGACAGGCTGACAGACTGACAGACTGATGGACCGACGGACAGACGAATGAAATTTAACGTCCCCTCGCTTTCGCGAAAGCGGGGGACAATAATTATGCTTCTTTAGACTCTACATTACATATAGTATGACATTTTTGCACTGAAAATTGTGTCTTGAACAAAAAACACAATTTCTACATTTTCCCTCCAATGTTTTACGCAATAAAATCACGGGACGAAATAACCTATAAGTGTATTTAAGAAAAGACATGGACACAGTTTCAATTTTTTTTTTAAACCAGTTTCAATGGTTACAATTCCTAATTAAGGCAAGTTAAATGATCAGCAAAAATTTGAACATCATTTTTTGATAAATACGACAGAGATACAGAAATTCAAATTCTTCATAATGTAATATCAAGGCTCTGCTTTGTTATGATTTACATATAGAGAATATATTTATAACAAAAAAAAAAAAGAAAAAAAAAATCCAGATTCGGCAAATCACTTCAAGCTGTCTTATCGTATTTAGAATAAACTTCTTGCAATCAAAACATGACAAGGGCCTTCTATACAAGTGTTTGGAGCTCAAAAACCGTCTTGAATCTCAACATCTGATATTTAAGTTTTAGAATTTTTTTTTAAATACCTTAGTTAAAAATTTGTAAATATGAAAAAAGAAGAAAAACAAGTTTTAACCGATACATAAACATGACTCGATTTTTTTTTCTTCATTTTTTGGGGGATAGAGGTATGTTTGTATCACTTGTCCTTAAGTAGATAAAAAAGTAAGTAAATTGAAATTATTTTTAAAACAGAGTTTAACATTATTTTTTGTGTATTATGTGATTTGATAGGTTTCCATTTTTCCATTATTTCTTATGTTTATGTATTTTGACAGAATGTCTACGGAGAAAGAAACGCTTCAAACACGTCAACACAACCCTGCTGTCCCTGGGTCAAACCAACAAGGGACGCAACCCTTACCAGGCTACCAACAGCCACATAACTCCTATCAACACAACCCTGCAGGCCCTGGGACAAACCAACAAGGGACGCAACCCTTACCAGGCTACCAACAGCCACATACCTCCTATCAACACAACCCTGCAGGCCCTGGGACAAACCAACAAGGGACGCAACCCTTACCAGGCTACCAACAGCCACATACCTCCTATCCACAAACCCAGCCACAGTACACAAACTCTCAACTTCCAACGTACACACAACCACCAAACCCGTCAGTGACGTCACAATCACAGCAGCCTCCAATAATCTATGTAGGGTATAACACCAACCATCCCGTCACATTTACACCGGCCCCAGTCCCAAAGCGATCATTATTGGAGGCGTACCTTTTGACACTTCTTCTAGGGTTCACTGGAGCGCAGCATTTCTACCTGAGGCGTCCTGAATGGGGTGTCGTGTACTTGTTCAGTCTTGGATTTCTGGGATGTGGGTGGGTGATCGATCTGTTCAGGCTTCCTCTGTTGGTGTCTCGCTGTAACAAACAAGCGTCACATCCGGAGACAAGCGAGAAGAAAAAGAAAAACCTGGATGACGCTTATGTATGTTGGCTACCGGCCGGATTTTTGGGTAAGAATCTTTAATGTAATGTTTCATCCAGATTTTTATTTACATCTCTTCCCCTTTCTCTCTTGCAGTTATCCCAGATAGAAGACATAGTTGGGCCAACGTTGGGCCAACGTTGGGCCAACATTAGCATCCTTGCTTCCTTGGAAAGTAAAGTGAATGGACGATGCTTACGTTGCACTAACGTTGGGCCAACATAGGAATTTCGACATGGTCGAGAACATTGGTCCAACGTTGGCCCAACGTTATTCCCCCATCGCCAACCATATAATTTTACCAATGTTGGCCCAACATAGTCATGCTATCTGGGATGAAGAAGTCCTACTATTTTCCATGATTTATAAAAGGTTATATTTCGTTTGCTTCTATAACGTCCTTTTTTCCAGGACTTCATCACTTTTATTTGAACAACATCGGACTTGGCGTTGTTTACTTCTTCACATTGGGACTTTTCGGCGTCGGTTGGGTTGCTGATGCTTTCTTAATGCCGTACCACGTTAAAAAAGCAAACTTCGACATCCCAGATGATTCCAGAGAGAAAAGCACAGCCACCACGTGCATATTAGCCATTTCCCCTGCAGGGATCCTCGGTGCTCACCATTATTACCTCAATAGAATTGGTTTTGGAATCGCCTACACGCTTACTTTCGGACTTCTCGGTGTTGGATACATTGTCGATTGGTGTCGTTTCCCATTATTAGTTCAAAGATACAACAAGAGTAAAAGAAAGGGTTTTATTTCCCACAAACATTTAGATGACGCTTATCTTCTGTGGTTTCCTCTCGGGTTTCTTGGACTTCATCACTTCTACCTGAACAGACCGGGCTGGGGCTGCCTTTATTTTTTTACTTTCGGTTTGTTTGGGCTTGGCTGGATTATCGACGGATGTCGACTCTGCTCCCTGGTTACGGAATGTAACAGACAGATAGACGAACAGGTGCTTCTCAACAGCAATAACCAGGGAATTTCTAATCCTAACTTTGTAACCGGAAGTGTTGGATCGCAACAATGGCCGCCAGCAGGTGTGATACACAGAATATTGAAATTAAATTTCTTAGACTTTGGCATCTTTTTAAAAACGAATTATTCGATGATTTGCACTGTTCTTTTTATTTTTATTCTGTAGCTGGAGGTCACGTGGGCTCTAATTATACTTATACGTCAATACCGTATCCACCAGGATATACCGCCAATTATCCCGTCCAACCAGGGCTTTATCCAACAGGACCAGCACAGCATAACGGTAAGTTTAGTAATCAGGACTTCATCTAACACAGTATGCACAACGGTAAGTTTAAACATACGGTTCTCAAAAGTAAGTTTAACCATGCGGATTTCATCCAACACATCACAACGGTAAGTTAAGGCATCGAGACTTTATAAAGCACAGTAAAACGGTGTTTTTAAGCATCAGGACTTCATCTAACACAGCTTTATTCGACACCGCACAACGGTAAGATTAACCATCAGGATTTTATTTACACAGCACAACTTACATATATACTGAAAGGAAAAAGAAACGCAGGCTAGCATAATATTCGAAAAAAATTTGACTGCATGACCGAAAATTACGAAAATTGGACAGGTAATAAATTTAGTTACTATGCACAAAAATCAGTGTTCAGAATTACTCAACCGTAAAATGTATGACGTCACGTAGGGAAAACTCTAAAAAGCCGAAAACACGTACAATTTGATGACGACATGTTAGTCAACAAATCTTGTTGCACCATTTTGTGCACCTGAGGTATGCACATCGTTTTTCAATATTTAGAGACGATATGAATTTCTTGCAATCTCGGTACAGTTTACGGAAGTTCCATGGGGTCTGGGTTTCGAATTGCCTAATTAATGGAAAAGGCAACAACGGGTAACTTAAGCAGTTTCTTGTAAATTTCCCACCATACAACTTGTTACCCGTTGTCAGAGAGGTAATGGTTTTCAATCAACTCTGACGATGATGTTAACGCGAAACAGAGTCATGTTACGAGCGGGTTATTCGTCCTGTCATTTCTTTAATCGCCACCTTACTGCTACAAAAACAGCCTTTTATACAGCGGACTATTATAATCATTACATTCACACAAAAAAATGAAAGAAAACAATTCCGCAATTTGGTTTTTTGAGCCGGTCAAGTTACTGTTGTGTTCCTCTTATTGGCGCATGTGTGCGTCATATGACTATGTAATTTTATGGCATGGTTACCCATGCCTAATATAGCCAGGGTTTGAAAGACAAACACTCTTATGAATTCTATGCAATGGAGAAATAAGGCTCTGACAGATGCTCGGGAGAGAGATATTGAAGATTATGAGAGTTTTCAATTTTCACGTTTTGGAGGGTATCGTCATATGAGCTTCAATAACTCATGAATTATCAGACAAAATTAAATGGGATGTTGGTTATATCTTTTTGAAAGATGATTTTAAAAGTTAGATAGGAATACTGAAAAAAATTAAAAGAAAAATAAAATAAATTCACCTAAAAAGTTTACCCTGCGTTTCTTTTTCCTTTCAGTAATATTAAGAACCAACACAACTTTAGTCATATATATAATCAGCCATTAGTATGCAAAACATTCATTCCACTCTTCTATCTATTTTGCAAATTCTTTATCTAAAATGAAAGTCGCAATCTTTACAAAAAAAACTATGAAATCAATATTTGCAGGATATGGATCTACTTCCGGTGTTGGCGATCAACCGCCTCCTTATGAAGCTGGACCGCTGCCAACTAAGGACCGATAACTCTCTTAAAACACAGTGTGTATCACTTTACCAATGAATTCTTATAAATATGTCCTCATTTCACAAGGACCTGTATCAATTACCTGTCTAACTAGACTGAATCAATGTGTGTACAGTTTTGACCAAAGTTGATTACTTCGCCTTAGATTCATATCCTAGTGGTTTGGTAAATAGGTGAAGCAAAGCAAGAAATCAAAATGAAAAGAAATATTTCATTGATTAGAATTTCAAATGAATATGTTCCCTGTACTGTTTGCATAATTATGTGATCTTTAAAACATATCACTTTGTTATATTGTTTTATATTTTGTATGGAATAAAAGAAATTAAAGAAACTTATTATGCATCAACATCACTAAGCCTTCAAAAATCAATCATCAACATATTCACTATAATATAGGGACACAATCACAAAAAATGTTAAAATCCTTGTGCGAGAAAAGGGGCTTAAATGTTTATAACCGGTTCGTTGGTGTTTAGTGGATGAGAGGTATTGACTACCCGGAATGGGACAACAAACTATGTCAGGTTAACCAAAGGATGCGTTAGTTTTGAGTACAGTTGGGTAGATCAATGCAATGCAGATAAAGTGTCAGAGACCGTATAAACCGAGGTCCCGTGTCGCACTTTGGTACTCAATTACTTTAAGAGCCGAGGATAGGACACAATTTGAAGCTCTCTAACGGCAAGTGGTGGTGCCCCCATATGAGTGAAAAAAATATCTCAATGGACGTTAAACAGCAACAACAAAACAAAACAAAACAAAACCAAAAGAAATAATTTTCGTTCAGTTTTGCCCATATCTGCCCGATGCAACGCTTCAGCATTCCTCTTTCTTTCCCTTGATGCCTTTTTTCTCTCCGTACAAATGAAGAATTTTCAAGTAAAGATATCATCTCTCTCATATGAGAAACACTGTAGGTCTGTTTGTTGACTGGAGTGAACGCAAGATTCTCACTCGGTTATCAAATCCTTTACAGTCAATCTGCATTTTTTTTTCCACTTCTGTTAGAATTTTAATTTTTTGCAACTGCTTTAATTTATTGACAAATGTATACATTTGTTTTTTATCTTTGTCTTTATGCTTCCCATCCGGAAAGAAACTGGACAAAAATAAATCTACATAGTTTGCAAATTTCGTACGGATGTTCACATTACATGTATCCCTGGCTAGCAAAACCAGTAGAAATGTATTTGAACAGTTTTCATATCCTTTACCCTGTTCATGATTGCAGTTTTCCAGTCCTTTTCTTTTGCAATTGAAATTGCGTTCCTAGTCAACAAGTAATTCTGGTTTAATATTCAACGTTGAAAAATGAATCCCCCAGTCAATTCAGACGTGGTTCAATTTTTAATGTTTTAATGTCAACCACAACCACGTGAGCCCTAAATATTGATCAGGTATAGGCGGAACAATACGTAGTTAAATTGATAGAAAACAAAAACTTTTAATTGGTTTGAGAAAAAAAATCAGTCAAAATACCGGTGCAATCAAATATTATTTTATGTCTCCTTACAAGGACATAATAACAACCACTGAATTTTGAAAATGATTCCTGATATATAGTGATAATTACCTAAATAAAGAATAATGACGATCAGGAAAGGGGATTTTAAGCTAAAGCCAAAATATACTTAATAACTAAAACTTTATGATAAATACAATAACTAGCTTTATATAAAAAAAAAATTATGACCTCACTGGAAACATTACCCTGTACCATTACCTCTGATTAACTATCAAATATAATAAACATTAATAATGGATGGATAATGAACAGTTTTTACCATTATATACAAATATCTTTCAGAAAATGTTTTTTTTTCAAACTTGTAACTTTGATTTGTTTTCTCAACAATAAAAATGGTGGTTCATTTTTGAAGAATTATTAAGGAAATTGCAAAATGATTGCGGTTTTTTGAGATTCACAAAATTGAATATCCTCTCTCTCATCAAACAAATCATTAAAGTTCTCTTTTTTGAGTGATGGGAAGGGTCCTATATAGTGGCCAAACTAGTTTTGAAGTAAACAGGTATTTTTTCTACTTCTCTAAAATATAATAGAAGAAAATATCATAACACCTGCTTTATTTCATATATAAATGAATATATCATTGTCTTTATACTTTCCATCCAGAAAAAGTGGACCACAATCCCTGCAGATAGTCTGCATTTGCTGTACGGATATTAACTTTATCCCCAGCATTCAAAACAAGTACTTGAACAGTTTTCATATCCTCCTCCACCCTGATTGTTACAATTTCCGAGTCCTTTTCTTTTTCCACTGAGAAGGATCTCCACGTCAAACAACTTTTTTGATGTTACACAACTTGACCACGTAAAAACGTAAAGACCAACAGACGGCGCTGTGAACACACCCGTATGTTGATTGTAGGCGTTTCCATAGTTAAAATATACACCATCGTACACAACGTTAACGGGTGTTCCTCTTTGGAGGTGAAGTGTTTTTGTTGTGTATGCATTAAATGCAATAAATGTACCTGCAATATTACAAGCAAAATATTGGAAAAAAAGAATAATGAAACAACAACAAAAATAAGTATTACCTGTTCATAAGGTAACAATCAATTAAAACTGAAGACGATTCTAACGATTCCCAGTTATCATTTAATTTTCTTATGTAATTTAATTAAACTTGGCCTTTTTGCAATGTTAAATGCTTATGAAAAGTTTATAACAAATGATACCGCAAGTGAATATAACATGGATTTCAAAATATAAATTCCAATTTTGCATTATCTTTATAATGTGCCAAATATTTTTATTTAAAAATACATTGTCATGTATTCAAAAATAAAATATTAAAAGTACCTTTCGAAATAGTGCTTTGATCCTTTACACATCGATATTTGACCTCCAGATATTTAGAGTAATTAGGGCACGGGTCTCCGAAGTGTTGAACATCGGCGTGAATGTGGCATGTCCTGTACCCATTGCAATTCCATTTCGTCTTGATTTCAGACGCCTCCGGACGACAGGTACGTGTTTTGGTTTTACCAGAAGGACATACCTGTTCGTCCGTTCGTCCGTAGTTTGCAGATAAAATCTGAATCTGGGTTCCTTTGGTACATCGGATAAAACCTTTTTGACTACCGTATAAGTGGAAATTTTAGCGAGACGCAAATTTTGCGATTTCTTCTTAAAAAATGGTAATTTATTTTTAGCGAGAGGTATTTTTAGCGATTTTGAAATGCTCACCAAAGAAGCTATAACAAACAAAATGCAATTAATTTTTAACGATATTTAATTTTAGCGATGTCAGGACCCTCGCTAATAATGCCAAAATTAAATCCTCGCTAAAAATTCTACTTATACGGTATCACAGAGAGCAAACGACTGGTCTTAAATGTAAGAGATTTTCGGTTAGTTCCTATTACAGGTGAAATGACAATTTTAAAAAAAGTAACAAGTGTAAACGATGAAATTGCAAGATAATTTGTATAAGTATTTGGAATTCACCTGAAGTCTCCACGTGTCTGAATGCCGATGACAAAATCAAAACAGCAGCAGCTTGGAAAAAATGTATCTTTCGCCTCCAAAGTTAGATAAATACATAGTATTCGATATGAATATTTCACCTCGATATGTTCAATGAAAGATAAATAGGAAAATAAAAGAAAAAACGCGCATATTTATAGATAATATGTGCGTGATTTAATGTAACATATGTAACTCAACTATGAAATTGATAATTCTAAATTGAATTATAAATACTTTTAAATATATTAGCATAAATGACACATTCACACTTTAAGATTCGAATATTTACATTAATTGAAACATAATTGAAGGAGAATTTTCTTCCACAAATATATTTATAGATAGTTCTATTTCTATAAACCTCTTCAGGTAGAACCTATGTCGGAGAAGTCTGTCACAAGATTTTCAAACTTTTCAAAATGATAAATTAGCACTCGCTTATCAAAGAGTTAATAGTACATGACATGTTTCCTTGTTATAAAATGTAGTGCAGCCTGTGCAACTTGGAATGGTAATTAGATACTGCGACTTCACATTGTCAGTCATTTTTAGGGTGTTTATCATAAAGAAAAATGAAAGATGAAAAAAATACTTATTTTGACATCGTGGCTTATAAACTTTTTAACTGAACAGTATTAGGGAATATTTCTTAAGAATAAGTTCTTTTATTATTCAATTGACATAAAAGATATGTCCACATTTCAAAACTGAACACCAATGAACTCCATTATTTGTCGATTTTCCAGCGTAAATTTGTATATGTTTTTCAGATTTACGATGTGAACGTTTAACAATAATGCATTTTTCAATTTTAAAAGATATTTGATTTTAAAAAATGTAATTAATCACCTACCATTTAAAATATGCATGCATAATCAGCAAATAATTATGGGAAAGAATGCACATCATATCATGAAAGACACCACAAAACGTACACACAATCGTCACACATCATTGACTCAGATAAATTTTATCAAGAGATAATTCTATTTAGTTGTCAACTGATCATATCTTTCATATTGATAATATTAGGACGATTTACATGAGGGACGATAAAGTATGTCGGCGCACGAGCAAATTCGGAATATTTTACTCATATAACTATTACATTTGCTTTTATTTCTTTAGTACTATTTAAAACATTGAACTCAAATTTACATCAGAGATCTTAATAATATGTCATAATTCAAATAAATAGCATTGGAAACAGACGACTGGTGTCATGATTTTCAAAGTGTTGTTAGAATTGTTTTTGATGAAAATGACGTCGTCAAACGGGTAACCGGCGCTCGGAAATATAATAAATTGTTTTGCATTGATTTGTATACATAAAAGACGGAAAAAAGTACAGAAGTGACATTACACACTAGATTTTAATAGGGAAGTTATTTTAAAATGACATGAGATTCACTGAGAGTTTTTCCTCTATACCGAAATTAGTTACAACAAGTAAGAAGAAGAGTACTGTTTGTTTAGGTACGCAGACAACGGGGAACAATCTGGGCCACGAACGATGTCAAACAATGTGTATTCTCTGCTACCTACAATGTATGGCGATTTTTCGACTGAATTTCAAGTAAAATTTGAATCTGCTTAAAATAAAACATCAAAAAACCTGACAGTAGTGAATTTAAAGGAGTCTCTTAGTCAAGAGTGGTATTTCACTTAAAAAAAATATTGAATGTTAGCAGACGCGTGTGAAACAGAAAAAAGAGATCACGACGTTATATGAGATGTGAATTACGCTTGCTTTCGTGCGCCGAAATTTGTTGTACTGTTCTCTTTTAAGTTTTCTTTTCATTACTGTCAATATCTAAGTGGGGAG